CTATCCACTGAGCCAAACCGGTTTTGGCTATTCGGTTTTTTTTAAAAAAAGGTTTTAAAACGAGGGACCTAAACCGAGTTCGACGTGCCAGAGGCGGTATTACTGCAGCTCGCATATCACTCAGCCGCCTTAATTGCTTCATAAACCCCAGGTCTTATCTGAGATTTGGAAACGTTTTACTCCGCACACCACTGGCACGGAGCTGGCTTTTTTTTTTTGTTTGTTTGTTTGAAATCGAACAGTAAGAGCTGGAATAAGTAAAATAGAGAACAGAACATGCCGTGGGATGGCCAGGAGCCATCGGAACTGAGTTGGCTTAAAAAAACGAAACAAAACAATTAAGTTGTAGAGATTTGAGGGGGAGCCCGGCCGGTGAGGCTCAGTGGTTGAGCATCAACCTGTGAACCAGGAGGTCAGGGTTCGAGTCCCGGTCGGGGCATGTGCCCGGGTTCCGGGCTCCATCCCCACACTGGGGCGTTCAGGAGGCAGCCGATCCATGATTCTCTCTCATCATGGATGTTTCTCTCTCTCTCTCTCCCTCTCCCTTCCTCTCTGAAATCAGTAAAAACATATTTTTATTTTTTTAAACGTTTTAAATGGATGTATTGATCCTTTTAACTAACCCTCACCCGAGGATATTTTCCCATTGATCTCTTAGGGAGAATAGAAGCGAGAGGGAAAGACAGAGAGAAACATGGATCTGAGAGACATATCGATGGGTGGCCTCCTGCACGCACCGTGACCAGGGCCCGGGCCGGGGAGGAGCCTGCAACCGAGGTCCGTGCCCTGGACGGGGGAATCGAACCCGGGACCCTTCCGTCCGCCGGCCGACGCTCTATCCACTGAGCCACACCGGCCAGGGCAATGAAATGTGCTGAGCCACACCGGCCAGGGCAATAAAAAAATACTTTGACAAAATGATGAAAACTGTGAAGTGTGTATCATGTGCATCTTTAACTTCATTTAAAAAAAAATGAAAAGGGCTAGAGACACCGCGGGGAAAGCCATGCGCGCGCCGACGGGGCGGCCGCACGGGGAGAGGAACGCCGCGCCTCTGACCTTGCCTCCCCGGGTTGCGGACCTGCGACGGCATGTCCTGGATCTCCAGCGTCCACTCCCCCTCGGCCTTCTCTCCCCAGCTGTGCACCGTCATGAACTCCCAGTTGGAAAACCCTTCGTTGGAGTGGTCCAGCAGCCTGCGAGGGGAGACCGCGGTCAGGACATAGGCCGGGAAGGGGAGGGGGGTGGGGTCTAGGGGGCCAGGGCAGCAGGTGTGAGGGCAGCCCTCGTCGTCGTCGGAGGGGAAGGGGCGGGGAAGACCCTGACTGCTTTCCCACCCTTGTTTTTATTTTATTTTTATTTTAAAAATATTTTTATTGATTTCAGAGAGGAAAGGAGAGGGAGAGAGAGGTACACCCATGATGAGAGAGAATCATGGATCGGCTGCCTCCTGCACGCCCCCTAGTGGGGATCGAGCCCGCAACCTGGGCATGTGCCCTGACGGGGAATTGAACTCAGGACCCTCTAGTCCACAGGCCGACACTCTATCCACTGAGCCACACCAGCCAGGACTAAAAATACCTTTTTTTTAAAACACGTTGTTTATGATGTAAGATTCGATTCTCAGGGCGGGCGGAGATTTCTCCGAACATCCCCTGCAGGAAGATGCTTATCGGGGGAGCCTCCCTGGCCCGGGCAAAGGGTGAGGGCAGGGGGCACCCCCTCTTTCTTCTAAGAAGCGGCAAAGGGCGGACTGGGTTCCCCACGTGATGCCGGGCGGAATCCAAGACCCGGGGCACAGAACA